GTGTGAGGCGACACCAACCCACCTCCCCTTCGGAATGAGTCCCATACTATCATAGAACAAGACAAAGTCGGGGCCATAATGACCGGCCTCTGCCTCAGGGACATCCACTTCAAGGCATCAATTGGTGTACCCGAGGCAGAGAGAGATTCCATTAGGATCCAATCTGGTGTATATCCCTGGTCATACACAGAGGAATTAAGCTGAGCCACCCGCGCTGCTTTGTAGTATTGCAAGAGATTGGGGACACCCAAGCCCCCTGTCCGTTTAGAACGGTGCAGTACTTTTTTCGAAAGTCTAGGATGTTTTCCATGCCAAACAAATTTAATAATGAAAGATTGAAATTTCAAAAGATCTGGCTTATGTATATAGCTATGGGTAGAGCCCGAAAGTAATATAGGATCTTGGGGAGCAGCGTCATTTTGAGTGCATGAATGCGACCCAGCCATGACAAATTACAGGAGTCCCATCGAGACATATCCTCCCGGAGTTGGTGAAACAGGGGTATATAGTTTTTCTTATATAATTTTAAAAAGACAGGTGTAAGTTTAATCCCTAGATATTGCAAAGCCTCCGTGGACCAGGTAAAATCAAAATGTTCCGACAACCGAGACCACACCTCCTGGTGGGATATTGATATTAAGAGCCAATGATTTGGATGCATTGACCCGCAATCCAGATACCCCCACAAATTGAGTCAACAATGCCAGAACATTAGGAAGTGTGGTCAAGGGTAAAGTGACAAACAGGAGCAAGTCATCCGCAAATAAAGCACACTTATGCTCCTGCCTACCACAACCCACTCCCTTAATATTAACATTAGCACGGATCGCAATCGCTAGGGGTTCTATCGCTAATGCAAAAAGCAGTGGGAAAGTGGGCAACCTTGACATGTGCCTTTAGAGATAACTATGGAATCAGAGATGTGGCCCTGTAGCCTGATTTGTGCTGACGGAGTGGTGTATAAGGCCCGCAATGTATTCAGAAAGAGGGGGCCAAAGCCCCATTTCTCAAGCAACTGGAAAAGGTATTGCCAAGACACTGAATCAAAGGCTTTTTGTAAGTCTATAGACAACAGAAGCCCAGATTGTGATTGCCCTCCATCCCACCCTGACTGCAACAAGGTGATAATATCAATGGCCCTTCTAATTTGA